TTGTGGCAGGCTTTTTATGTGGGATCATTTGTGCAGGTCACAAAAGCAGACTTGCCCTTAATTGGGTTAAGTGCTTTGGTGCTTTATGACAGTCCGTAGCATCCGCTGGGTATCATCAACTTCAGACCGGTATCTACGAGGAGACGGGAGCATCCGGAAATGATCACTTCCTCTGCTGAATGCAGATCGTACCCTGCTGCACCTTCTGTTTGACGGGTAGGTACGATGGCTTGCGAGTGGTCTAAGAATACACGCAGAGTGGTTTTCTGTGTCTTCTTCTTCAGTGTACGCCTTGTCATTGTTGAAGCTTCCACTTGCAAACTGTTCGTGTTCAGAATTGAAGAAAGGTTAGAAATTGAGCTATTCACGAAATTAAGCACTGATGCTTCTTGATCCGGCTGAGCTCGATCAGGCACCTCTAAGGTTTCGTCATCCTGAGACCCCATTTTCGCTCCTGCTACTGTTACATTAAAGTGAGTACCACTACTTGTACCCATATTGTTTGACGTAGTGCTACTGGTACAGTTGAGGAAGGAAAGAATAGAAAATTGAGATCCGCTAGGAAGTGGTGGTGTGCTGTCATCTGTGTCAGGGGTACTGAATTTTCCCACACCTGAGCTTAGACCCTCCTGCCCACATTCCTCCGAGGTGTTTTCAGGTACAGTCTGATGGTGCTTCTCAGGCTTTGCCTCCACCACCAATGAACTGACCATCCTCGGAGACCTCCTTTTGATGACCCATGTAAACCTTGGCCCTTCTCAGGCTTTTGTGCCTCTGTGACCAAGGGATGCATGTTATTGGTCGGAGAAACAGAAATGTCCAGATCGAGTCGAGAGTCCTGCAAGACTTGCATACTTAAGCCTTGCCAAATTGAAAACTCGCCTGGTTGAGCAGAGTGGGGTTGACCGCTATGGCTGCCCTGAATGCTTGTATGGCCTCAGTTTCTTCTACTGTAGTGGCCCGAGCTGCAGGTTGGGCATCCTTTTTACGCCAAAACTGCGCCTTTCCGTCGTAGTAGTGGGTGTGCCATATATCCGTGCACGACCCCTTCTCTGACCTTTTCTTTCCACAAGTGCTGCACTTCCGGTGCTTGTCGCGTTCTCCATCAACTCCTACCGTTTCCTTGTATGGCACCACCTTTCCTGCCTCATCAACATTCCTGACAGGTGCCCTCTGGATGTCCTGACCGCATTTGCCGTTGCCGTTACACCTTCCTCCTGGTGGACTTGTCGGGTCTTGGAGTCCTTTCCTTTCCCCTTGCTCTTTCGGTCTTCATAGGTGGATGCCCACTGCTGCTGCTGCTGAAGGTCTAGCTGGGCTGCAACCTGTTTCCATAGGTCATAGCTGTTGACATTCTGGCTAATTCCTTCAGACGCCCATACTCTATCACAGAGTTCTTTTCTCATGGCCGTCCTAAGCAATTGGAGCAGCAGCTGCTCATCCTTATACCCTGAGACCTTGACCCAATGTTCCCATTCAGCTTCGAATTCCTCCCAAGGCTTGAACCTTTGCTGCAAGGTGTGCAGCATCTGTTGTCCTTCCAGCTCTGGGTTCACAGGATAGTACATCTTTTTGAGATCCGTGATGAAGTCCTGGAGCGTGGTGTAGACTGGGACTCCCCCCATCATTCATTCTAACAGGGAGGCCTTCCAGTGGTCTATCTGTGGTCCATGGATGTAAGACAGTGCCCATCGAATTTTACCCTGCTCATCTTCGAATTCGCTGGGTTTCATGACGATGTAATTCATTACGTCAATGAGCTATGCCTTTGCCTTAGTCTTGGTGCCATCGAATGCTTCCGGGAGGTTGACCTTTGGTTCTCGAAATGACTTCTTATGTATTTCATCCAAGGATGCTGGTGCGGGGGCTGCAGAGCAGCCATTCCTATCTAGTAGCGGAACCTCCTGCTCTGGTAGGAAAGCATATTGGGCCCCCGCTAGCTCATCATCCTGGTCTCCCTCATAGGATTCTGCTGGGGAAATTGGGGATGTCTGCACCTTAGGGGGCGGCTGCTCAGGATTTGCCTGGTGTGCCAGTTTGAGCCCACTAGGGCCGACGGGTCCGGTTACTCCTGTTACCCAGTCCCGAATATCCTGTTGTAGGGGATCCTGCCTCTTCTTACCTTTATCGACCGGCTTTGGGGGTGGTCGAATGGGGGAAGGTGGCAGCGCTGATGCTAGAGCCTCCAGATTCGCGATTCGAGCTTGCTGGGTCTCGTTGATACCTTTGAGACCCTTCATCCTTTCCTCACTGGCCTTGAGTGCCTTGGTCGTGAGGTTTAGCTCCATCTCTAGTTGATGAATCTGGTTCCCACACTCTATAGCACACTGTTCTGTGGTTTCTTTTAGTTCCGCATTCTCCCTCATGAGGCGGTCTCAGGTTGCCTCCACAGCCAAGCACGCTTCTCGTGCCTCCATTGCCTCCCTTCACGCATTGTCAAGCATTTCACGTAAGCAATTGTAGTCAGCTTGGAGGTGTTGGTAGGCATGTCGCATGTCCACAGCTTGTGTCCAGAATCCAGGGGTTTCCTCCGTTAGAGGGGGAAGTCCAGGTCATGCCATGTAGTAACTCCACCTGCTGTCTGGGAATGTGTAACGTTCATACCCCAGCGGGGTTCCCGAGGCGTGGCTCGACCAAACATAATCTTGTCCCCTTTCTGCCCCTGCATGTCTTGCTACCATGTCTACCTGGGTGGTTTGGTACCAGGTTCGATCTTCTTCAGAGTGATCTCAGGCCCAGATATCGTATTCCCATTGATGGAATCACCTGCCCGTCCTCTGCTCATTCAGGTACAGGGCGGCGAATTCATCCACCAGCCTAGCCGAAGGCCCCCTTCTTCTAGAAAGGCTCTCCAATATGGCTGGCATCATGAAGTATCTAGGGGTGGGGGCAATGATGTTGGTGTCATTGAAGGACATTGGAGTGGGTACCCTGGATCCTGAGCCTTCGGGGTTCAGGTGTTCTTCCATGGAGTGTTCAGATTGTGCAGCCATTTTCAGTGGTGTTGCCTGGTCAGGGTGTTGACGACCTGTTTAGAAAGGTTCTTCTTCATTGCTTGAGGAGATACCATACTCTTCATCGAACAGGAGATGGTACAACTCCTGGTCATCTTCTACCGGTTCAAGTTGTGCGGGAGCTTCCCGGACTATGTGATGTGGCTGGTATTCGAGTCTTTCATAGTAGTCGATCATGACTTGGTAGCGATATAGGATAAAATGAGCTTGTGCGATGTGGAGCTGATAAATGAAGTCTGCCCGAAATATGACGCTAATGTGCTCATAAACTTGATCCCACTCTACTGTTCCTGGAGCTATGGTATAGATTGTTGTGTATCCTTCCAGCGAGAACCTTTGCATTCGATGCTGGGATCTACTCGCAGTTTTGTCGAGTTGTTCTTCACCAAGGCCTCATAATGACCCAGACACAGCTTTAGAGTCCTGCTACTCCTAGTAGGTCTAGTTACAGAGTCCTGAATGACACAGTTTGCAGTTGCAGAGGGGTCTTTGTGATCTTTGATTATTTTACCACCAGTGTCCAACTATCTCTGAAGGGATGTAACCTTGGTTCACCTGCCATTTCAGCAGAGCTTTCCAAGAGTTCGTCCCATGTCAAAAGACTATTTGTCTATATATGTATTGGTAACTAAACCCCTAAGAGATCAGAACTGCGCAGGGGTTGAATATGCATCTGGTGCCGATTTAGCACTGAGCAAGTAGGTTTAGCCCCTCACTACTCAAGGTTTTACAGGTCACGCTGGAGCAGTCCAGAAGTGTTGCTGATTCACAGCTTCCTGTAGTGGGTTTCTTTCGAAGGTGTCCCTGACCTCCCGCAAGTTCTCCCTTGTTTGCAGTTGTTATTACTGATCCAGATGCGCTGTCGTAAGCAGGCCACACCCTACTGTAGTTAAATAGCTAGACTATCCAGATGCAAGGCAGCTAGGCCTAGGATATTTTATATGGACTAGCAGTTCCACGTGTCAGAGGTTCACTGGTGCACTTTAGCTGTGGTGAATCCTCGATAGCGATACCCTTTCAAGGAGTACTGCGTCCCTTTCCCCTAGTAGGTTCTGTCATCATCAGGCTCTCTGGTCCTTCTTAACAGGCCTATTGGTTTTAACCACTAGGTTTGACTAGAAAGTCCCCTTACACCTGGGGTCTCAGCAAGGTTTGGGACAGTAGTATGTCACCCACTTTTGCAGGAGGCTGGTTTAGGGCCTATGTATCCTGACTAACAATCTGCGTATTTGCTTCACTGAAGAGGTTCAGCAGGGCACAGCTAAGCCCAGGGAATGTGGGAAGAAGCTCTGGGCGAGCACGATGAGATGGAAGTGATCGACAGTGGTATGCGTTCTGAGGCGTCAACCGGTGCCCACAGAACAAGAGGAGAAGTTTCGAGTTATGTGAAGGATCTCAGGTGTTGAAAGTCATACGGACTTTATGTCCAGTGGGACACGGACTTTGACATTCCGTGCTTATTCACTTATGTAATCACATAGCCACAAGCGCGCTCAATCTTTTCCTGCTACCTCAGCACTCACATTATACATCGAGGCTGAGGTGAGTACCTACTGGACTTCTTTACTTAGTCTTTACTGATATACTGTAGTCACTTGCTTTCCTATGTGTCTACAGGTATTTATACAGCACTCGCATTATACATCGAGGCTGAGTCACTTGCTTTCCTACGTGTCTACAGCCCTCATAAATTTTCACCTCAGACAATAGGTTATGAGCCCCGTGGCTACACACTAACCTGTCCATTCATTCAAGCTTCCACTGTGCTCACACTCCTTTAAATCTTCTCTCTTTGACCAGCACCCACACCAGCACCTCCTGCACCACAGTCTACACCTTCTCACTCCACACTCTCTCATGCCATGTCCAAATCTGTCAAACTCTCTCTCAGCTCAAACTGCCTCTATGACATACCATTCCTCGAGGATGATGGAGCAAACTACCAGCAATGGAAGTTTCATCTCGAGATGGTGCTACGCATCAGAAAGCTCTGGAACATCACCCAGGGGTAAGGAAGCTCGACCTTCAGATTCTGAACCTGACAAGCAGGCTAAATGGGATGACAAGGATCAAGACGCAAAGGCACAGATCACGCTCATGCTCAAAGATACACCTCTGAGTGGCATCATGTATGAGAAGACGGCGAAGTCTGTATGGGACAAACTCACCGCGTGGTATGAGGGGAAGGGGAAACAGACTATAGCATACCTCATCGGTGAGCTGTTCCATGGTACCCTCTCTGATGAGACCAGTATGGAGATACAGCTCGATGGCATGGTCCAAAAGGCCAACATTCTGGCCACCCTCGGACAGCCACTCAAAGACTTGCTGATCGCGATCGCCATGGTCACATCGCTCCATCCATCGTATTCAGTACTTCGCACCATCCTCATGTCGATGAGCGACAAGCTCACCATGGAGATGGTCACAAACCAGGTCCTTACCGAAGAGCGTGAATGCCTCAAGAAGAGATTGCAGCATGCGCTTGCCGCCAAGCTGTCAGGTATGCTGTCAACATCGAAATCGAATGGGAAGCAGCCAAAATCTGGCAAGAAGTGTGGCTATTGCCACAAGCTGAACCACATGGAGGAGGAATGCTGAATGAAGAAGAGAGACGAGGAGAAGCAGGAGGAGGAGGAGGGTAGTGATGACAGTGAAGACCTTACGGCGAAGGTCGCGTCCACCTGGGGTACCACAGCATCCCCCATCCTTCAACTGACCATCGCCCATGCACTCATGCAGTGCAGCCTACCCACCAACCATTGGATTCTTGACTCAGGTGCAACGGCATCCATGAGCTCATGCCATGACTGGTTCATTCAATTCATGAACCTTACCTCATCGAAGCGCGTTTGGCTCAGAGACAGACGGTGCGTTCATGCAGAAGGTATTGGGCAAATCTACCTTGATTTAGCCACCGAAGATGGACGTACAAGCCTGACGCTGCTACAGGACATATACTTCACAGCTTCAGGGCAACCTCCTCTCCACCTCGTGACTCACCGAATGAGGTCAGACCCTCACGTTTCATGATGACGCCTGAAAAACACCTGAAACAGCGAGATAATAGGCCTAGCACACAAGACGGACAGTCTCTACATCCTCGAGTCGATCCCATGTGCTCCCATGTGAGCATTTGTAGTGCACGCAGACTCCTCCATGGATTCCGATGAGTTTTCACTCGAAGCACTGGTGGCGAAGACGATGATGCACAAGGTGAATGTCATAAAGTGGCACCACAAGACCTGCTACATGGGTATCGAACTCACCCTACAAACAGTCTATCAAGGGGTGGTCAGTAACACGAACACCGTGAGTAATGCGACTCATGATGTGAAGATCGGTAAGCCCATCCAGATGGGCATTAAGCCCTTGGCCACACACATCCACATGCACGGGTGTATGGCCCATGATGCCAGACTCAATCTCAAGTCAGTCAAGCACGTCACCCTCGGGTATGCTCAAAACGTGAAGGCACACGCTGCCTCTCACTGAATGAGTGGGTGCACACACGACACGCAAAATGTCGCCTCTAACGAGGATATCCGTACACAGCAGACATGCACAGTGATCGACCCTGAACTTCAACATGAAGTGCAGGGCAAACCGCT